TTATTATTATTATTATTATTATTATTATTATTATTATTATTATTATTGTTATTTTCATGATTATCATTATTATTATTATTATTATTATTATTATTATTATTATTATTATTATTATTATTATTTCTCCTGTTTCTCTTTCGTTCCTGTCTGGAGTTTTATTCTGTCCATCTGTCATAGTACATTAACAGTTTATGCTCATTAAGAATCAATGCTGATAAACAAATAAAAAACTGAAAAAAGAAGATTTGTTTGACCTCCGATTGGGGGAATGACTTGATCCAGTAGTTTCATGCTGGTCCTCTTCCAGATCTTCTTGATGATTCCCCTCAGCTCCTCATTGGCCTGCTCAAAGTTACCTGGAGATGATAATAAAACACAATCAGTTCACCAGTAAATAACAATATTCATAAGGGCTGTTCATAATATCTCCTCCCATTTATGAGGAAATGTATTAGGTTACAATGGGGGGATAAAATACAATCAGTTCACCAGTAAATAACACCATTCTGTTCATAATATCTCCTATTTATGAGGAAATCTATTACGTTAAAAACTCGACAATAGCTATTACATCTCTTCTCTAATGAAAAGCAATATTGTTTTTATTATCGTATTTAAATGTTTTATTTATATTGTGAGCCAGTCACACACTAATCTGTGTGTTGGGGTAAAAATATAAGTGTACTCCTTCAGAAAGCACAAAATTAAACAGATTCATTCATGAAAATTGGGAAAAAAATGGGAAATTGTACATTCTTACATGAAAGACTAAAGAAGTATATTAACTATTTACTGTATTTTGTTCAGAAGAATATAGACCAGGGGGGTCTGACTGACTAGACCCAATTTCTGTTTTATTTTTATTTATTTATTTGTGTTTATTTATCTTTGATGTTTGCTTCTTGCTGTTCCCCTCTATCATGCTAAATGCTTCATAACCCGCATTTAAGGCAATAAAGTAAAAAAAATTAAAAAAAATTGAATATGTAATAAGTAACTCTAATTGGGTTTTTATCAGAGTGAACTGGGAGTGAACTGGTTCTGTATCAGAGTGAACTGGGAGTGAACTGGTTCTGTATCAGAGTGAACTGGGAGTGAACTGGGAGTGAACTGGTTCTGTATCAGAGTGAACTGGGTTTTTATCAGAGTGAACTGGTTCTGTATCAGAGTGAACTGGTGTGTATCAGAGTGAACTGGTTCTGTATCAGAGTGAACTGGTGTGTATCAGAGTGAACTGGGAGTGAACTGGTTCTGTATCAGAGTGAACTGGTGTGTATCAGAGTGAACTGGTTGTGTTTCAGAGTGAACTGGTTCTGTATCAGAGTGAACTGGGAGTGAACTGGTTCTGTATCAGAGTGAACTGGGAGTGAACTGGGAGTGAACCGGGCTCTTTCTAACCCTCGGTCTTGATCTTGAGGGCGGTTCTGACCAGGGCGAACAGCGTGGCGTTGAAGGTGACGGTTCCATCGCTGTTCAGAGGCATGTTCATGGACACCAGCCTCTGTGGGAAAAAATAACACAAAACACACAAAAAACACATTACAGGAAACACAGAAAACAGAAAACACATTACAGGAACACACAGAAAACACATTAAAACA